GCTATGTCTGCGGTACGTTTTTAAGGGTAGTTTTAAAACACCATCTGTAGAAACCGCATGAAAATAATTGGTGGCCTACTTTTGCATATCTTTAAATAGTTTCAAATGAATACCAACAAATAAAACTGTTTAAGTAAATGTTTGCATTACCTAATGTTATTTTCGGTTGCCTTTGCGAATAAATCATAGAAATGAAAACAAAACACTACCTCAAAACATAACTTTTATGGCTTTCCGGTTTTTATTACTCTACGGAAAATAACTGCCGATATTTTTCTATCAGCAATTGTTTGAATGATGGATTTACATTAGCAGATAATTTCGAAAATATGTTGGGGTACCTACACATACGGAACGACAGGCAGTATTGTGCATTATTTGCTAAATAAATAATTTTGGACGCCAAATGGCTTTGTTGTATTAGATTTAGTAGTACAAAAATCCACAATTGTAGAGAAGAATCTGGAATTTAAAGTTGAACAATCCGAGTGCGACGTACCCTCTTAATTATGATACTTTAATCTTTCGCACATAACACGTGTTTCTAGAGTACCTACTAAAAATACCTTTATTACCATTACGTTTAATACCGTCCGTGGGTCCATTCAACCTTTCGCAAACTTTTTTCAATTCTAATTGGTATTAGATAAGGATAATTTATCGTGTTTCCTACACCAGAACATAAAAACATTCCTCTCAAGGCAAGTTATAAATAAATAAATTGAAAGTTACGAAATTGCAGCTCCGTAATTTCTCTTTGAACGTTTCTGAAATTGCTCATCAAAAAAAAAAACGACAAACTTTTTCAATTATAAGACTGAGCCACTGCTGGAAGTTCAAGATCCTGAAAGCCCTACAGATGCGTCATTTTCTTGATTAGGTGTTTCAGTAATAATCGGAAAATGAACAGAAGCGCAAATAGCGACTGAAATTGAAATAGGTACCCATCTTTACGCGCTCCGCAAAACTCACCGCTACACAGCTGTGTGTGTTGCCTAAATTCCGTCATTTGAAACGTAAAGAAATCAGTAACCCGAAATAATTAAATATTGAGAAGCAATTTGAAATAATTTACATGTTAACAAGGCAACACGCTGCATATTCATAAAGTCGCCCGAGCGAATAATCGTTACTGAAAACTTCTAAGAGACCATAAATATTTCATAGGTTCCAGAACTCTCGAAACACGGCTCTAAAATTAGACGTTTAATATTTTTGTTACTCGCCTCGAAGTAAATAGTTAATTTGGCGATTGAGAAGCTTTCTGTTTCTAATGTAACATAATTATTGATTGGTAGGGAAATTAATTCTATGGTTAGTTAGGCAACTTATGTTACAAGGTGGAACGCAAAATTGAATTAGTGAGCGCGTTTATCACTGGTATAATTATGAACGGTACATGATTTTGTCATGTCGAGATGAAGGGTTACTGTAGTTGCAAAAAGTTTGCCTAAATTTAACCACCACGCGAATTGCAAATAATGCCAGTTTATTCGAAACGAGTCTAAGAGTAACAAAACCGTTCCATGAAACGCCATCAAATTTTGGCATTTTGGCACCCTCAGAGCAAGATCGTTCAGTTTCAACACCTGCTACTCGCAAATACCACCAGAGAACGTGACGCGCAACGAACCCTCTTCATCTACCATCCGAATGGCATCTAATAGATCACAGTCGGCCTTCAAACGATTGAATTTTACTTCACGCTATTAATACTACAAGCGCTTCCTAGGGCGAGGTGCTCTAATGATGAAGATGAATGATTGTGCACATCCTGTTCTTTCTCAATCGACGACAACAAATTGACGCCCAATCAGTGTTACTCGAGTATCTAAGATGTCATCCCTTACAAGAAGCCGTACCAAAAGTATGGCAGAGACCAGAAGCACTCCATTTATAATGACCGGCCGAAATGTTGATCCCCAATTCCTTAGCACAGCCCGGTCGACAAGCAACGGTGATTATCCACCGCCAAGTTCGACGGGAAAGGGAACACTCAGGCATACATTGATAATACTCTTTGCTGCCACGTGACACTCTATCGGGAACGGCTCGCTGTATTGTTTGCTCATTTCGTGCGGATTGCAGTTCTTAGCATCTTAGCAATCCGAGCAGGGGCCCTCTCATTACCATTTCCACTATTTAAATATGTTCTGCTTGAGCGATAATCGATTTTCACATGAATACTTGCTATTGGCCATTGGCATTCTCACATGTACTTTTCGTGTTAAAATTAAACTACGGAAGGCTGGAGTAGAGCCACGCCATTTACATGTTTCCTATGTACATGCCATTTATTATTTTACGAGTTTTAGTAGCTCAATTGATCGTACAGGTATTTTGATGTGTTTTTGTACTGAATTAATTTATCATGTTTTCCACTGCATTTATGATGTCTTGTGTATTTTGTTTTTATGAACTTGTTTAATTGCATTTGATTCAATTACCTGAGATTTATCATGCAATTTAAGATGTTGTATTTATGTGTATTTCTCTTGCATTTCGTTACTGTAGGTGATTTATTTCATGTATTTGTGTGGCCTATGCCGAGGTTTTTGTTCCGTAGAAGGTTTCCCTGGCATGGTCTTGTTGTGTGCGTAATATATTTTATTTGTTCTTGTCATTTCTTACGCACAAAAGTTCTGTCTTTTATTTAATTCCCTTCCTGATTATGTCTCACGTCCCAACATATAAAAGAACCGATTACACAACGTAGGAGTTCAGTTCATTCGTGCCATCCATATCGAGCCGACTGCCATCCAAATTCAAAAGTGCCGCGAAACGTCCAACGTTTCAACTCGAAAGGTAGGTGGCTCTGCTTGTAGTTTTTCCCAGTTGCTATCGGTAAGTAAAGGGTAAGTCAACGTTTACAGTGTCGGCTTGATAGACCCCTAGGAACATTACAAAACGTACGTCACAAAAGTGCCCACCAACAAGGGACGAGTGATAGCACGAAAAATCATTCCCAAAGTTGGACACATCTACTACACAGACCGTTCTGCAACCGAAATGGAGTGGGTATTGGAGATATTGGGCGGAAGGATGTAGACAGTCTCTCAGTCTCGGCCATTAGCAACAATATTCCAAGAGAATCTCGATAGTCACTGACAGTCAGGCAAGCAATTAAAGATCCAAACTCCGGCTTGATGCTGGAGTACATCTGAAACCTTACCCGGCTGGCGGAAAATAATAACGTCAAGCTGAAGTGGGTGCACGGGCACACTGCTCTTAAGAGTAACGAAATGGCCGACAGACTGGCTAAGGAAGAGTGAAAACCATTTTGAACGAGACAAGTCAAAGCTCTACTAGATCTACCTCCATTTGACGGGTTGAAGACCTGCTGAAGTTCAGTAAGAATCATTTATAGCTATTCACAGGGGGCACTGTCAAATGAAAAGACATCTGCACAAAATGGGCCTTGAAGCAGACACTCTGTGAAGGAGGTGCGGAGAGGAAGGAGAAACACCTCTACATAAGCATAATACAGTGCCGTTGTGAGGTGTCTAATACTTCAGGGCACAGGTTCCTTGTGTAGCCAGGAATACCTCAAAATGCTCCACCCGCAAAGATTATGAACAGACGTCTTTAGGGAGTGAGAATATAGGAAGCACAATAGACTCTCAGGATGACGGTACAGGCACTAAACTAGGATACTGTCGCTGAGTTTAAGTAATAAAACACCAAAACATCGGCAAAAAATGTCAATAGCCACATTTGTCACGTTCGAAGAGCTTCAACGTGGAGGAGGTGGTAGACCCACAAAAAACAAAAGCACAACCAAGAAGCTTCTCAATCTATAAGCATAGAGTACGCATACGGAAAGGGGTGTTCGAAACGGAAAAGAGTCGCGTAACCAAAGACTGCCCTTCCACCAGCTCCGCACTAGGACGCCCACTTCTGTGTTGGTGCGCGTAGGATGTGGCAACACCGATGATATTAGGAGTCAGTGCCCGAGCTTCCTCATTGACCAAATGAAACACCAGCTGGCCGACATCACAATCATTGTACCTGGACGCCATAATCGTATTATCCAAGCACTTCAAAACGCACCTGAACGACCTCGCTGCCTTGCTCAACCGTGATGCAACCTAAAGGCACGAAGGTCACTTTTGAGAGGCGAATCCGCTACTTGGGACACATCATCACTCTCGCTATCTTAAGTGCTAATCTCGCCAAGACCGCCCGCCACCATCATCGATCACCTATCACTCAAGAACCTTAAGCATCTTATGTCACTCTTGCAAACCCATCCCTGGTACAAACGTTCCGATAGACATATATTCTAAGTCAAGTCGGCCCCATACTATCCTTCCTTATCAGGGCAGACATCGGACTAACGCGAAGGGTTCTGACTTTGTAAGTTTATGACATCGCATGCCAAAACATTCCCAGGAAGAGGAACGTAGTCGCAGACGTCCTATCACGGCCACAGTTCGCCAGCAAGAACAAGAGCACATACTCGGAAACCACCACGCGGAATGCACCAGCAGCGCACCTCTCGCTACTAGTGGAAGGGAATGAGACCACAAACTACTGAATATGTCAAAAATTGTGTGGTGTATCAGAGGTAAAAGACATTGAACCACAAAATCACCGCTCCAACAAAGAATTTCGAGGTCACAAAGCCCAGAAAACCTGACGTCACGATGGGCTGTATTGTTCTCCCTGGCCCAAACAACCAGGTGCGTGCAAAAATACCCGATTCGAATCCGTAGTGACAATGCCGCTTAGTTCGTGAGTACCACGTCACACATTGTTTAGGGGTCACAATCAAAACCCGAAAGTGGATGAACCGAGATTTAAGGTCATACGGATTGTCCAAATAAACAACAATTTGTTTTATTAAAATAAAAGAGTAGACTGAATTTATAAAGTAAATATAATTATGTTTTTTCACTACTAGCGTCTGATGACATGATTATTAACCTTTTTTCCACTTGTAAAGTAGGCTTTCTCGGCATTTGTTCAAAGTGGTTAATAATTTTTTATTATTAACTATAGTTCGTTCACCCAACAGAAATAGTGAAGCCCCTCCTCAACAATTACCGCCACATTTGAATACGACATTGTTATTGGTGTAATTTTTGAAGCCACAATCACACTTGTAAAGCGAATTGGCCGAATTGAGTAATCTGTCATCTGTCATCTTGCCTATTGCGTTTCTGCCGGTTTTTACGTTTTTACATCTTTACTTGCGTCAATTTGCCATTAATCTCCTTTATTCACACAAAATAGTCTTTATAAAAACTCGTCGGTGTATTCTAAAGATAGTCAGGTGAGTAATTATAAAATTTTATACACGATTTTTACATGCCTGTTTTTAGGGTTATATTATTCGCGTTCAAGAAAAGTTGTACGCAAACATGAATGTCGCCGGTGCTGCTTTCTCTCCACCGAAAAAACATTCTGCCAAGCACTTTTCAGTTGAAGACAAAACTGGCATTTTAAATATCTTCAAGGCATATTCGGAAGACAACCCGGAGGTATCTAAAACGGATAAAGTTGAGTTTACGGCTAAAGCAGCAGGTAATTTTCATCTTAGGCACATTCATTTTTACATATTATTGTGTAATTTAGGTGTAAGCATTCCGAGTGTCTACAAGATTCTTCGGGAGTATACAGAGGTACACGAACTTCATTCACCTAACAAATATTATCGACCACGAGCAATTTTGGACAATATTGATTCCGGAACTAAAAGTATTCTTCGGCGTTTGCTTCATTCTTTCTTTGAAAGAAATGAACCACCTACCCTGAGTAAAGTTTTGGCAGTGTTACACGAAGACGAAGACTTACCCCATTTGAAACGAACTACTTTATGGAAATTAATATTATAGGATTTAAATTGTTATGTACCTTTGTTTATATTCAAGTGCACTTGTAATTTCAAAACTTTGTGCTGCTGTAATAATACTTTTTTGTACTTTTCTCAATATAAACAGTGTTTTTATGTTGCATATTTACATGTATTTAACAGTTTGCAGGTTTTACTATTTTTGCCACGAGTTATGTTCAGAGAGATAGCGCCATAATTAGTCTTGAGTAAGTGACATTTCAATTTGATTTTTCAAATTTTCCGCTTTTTATAATTTTGTGGTTGTAAAACTGGTTGCTGCTTACATTGGCCCAAATTTTGTAGGAGTGGCTTAACTATTTCTGTTGAGTGAACGAACTATAGTAGTCAATAATGAGAACTGTCACGCTGTCACTTTTAGAAAACACAACCCGAAATTTCGCTCAATGAACGTTTAGACAAGTTCTCTAAAACGAATAATTGCCACGATTCGCAATTTCCAGAGAAATTACATACCTAAAATTATCACATTTTGAAAAAATTCGAACGAAATTACTCTTTGAAAAATCTCAATGACAGAACAAAATACGGCCTGTTTGACTTGTACTTCCACGTACTTGATTGACATGTTAAATTAAGAAACAAACAATTCTGTCCAACCGTTAACTCTCTTATCAATAATATAATATGTTAATTTAGAGGATTTCAAGTGCTAGTAGTGAAAAAAATAGTATATATACCACGGTAGAGAAGTCTATTATTGCCTTCGCACCTTACACCCCTCGGCGCAAGCGCCTCGAGATGTAATCTTGGTGCTCAGGCAATAATAGTGGACTTCTCTACCTTGATATATAATGTACTATTTTTCTTAATTTAGGTTTTCATTAATAGTGAATGTTTGCTTTAGATTTTCATTTATATGTGTCTGATTCAAATTCTTTAGTGTTACGGAAATCTCGTGCTTGATTCTCCCGATGTAATTATGTAAGTGGATTCGATGTAATTTTGTTTTACCTGTACCTGCTATCTTCATCTATAGCAAGCATGATTTTCATATAGTTTCTAGTTTTAGCCCGAGGAAATTGCCCCAAACATAATAATATTCATAAGAAGTATAATTATATATACTTACTAAAGTATTGGCTGTATTTTAAAGAGGGTGGAATTTGAGTCGCAATTACGAATTCGAATCTTTCAATTTGTTCAAGTTGTTGACTAAAATGAAACACGGGTCGAGTAAAATTCACAATTATTAATTTACTTTGGTAAAAAAAGGGTCGTAATATTGCTAATGCTCTATTTGAAAGTCTAAAAGAGATAAAATATAACATCAATTTATTTAAAATAGAAGCTTCAAAGATCTGAAGCTTTATCATCAAAATGAAACTAATTTAAATTTATTAAGGAATATTGATTTTCTCAATTCCTGCATTACAAATCTGCTCCGTCTTGATATTGCTACTACGATCAGGTATCAACATCTAAAAATGATAAACCTTTCGGTTTGCGATATCTCCCCTAAGCCCAAACAGTATTAAAGTGACGCGAATAAAAAATACAAGATATTCGAACGGTTACTTTGACGGTTTTACATCACGTATGAAAAAATATTCCCCCAGGAAGTGGAAGTTGAAACACCTGCTCCAAAACATCCATTTCGACTGCTCATATATTTTTCAAGATGAATTTATATGGCTTCGCTATGACTGAGACTTACACGAAGAGACACAAATGCGATTTTTTTTTACAGAAACTCGTTCAATTTCAATTTTATTTGATCGCTCTTTCGATTGATCAAGGGTAGGTTCCCTTAACAAAATATGGAATATTCCAACAAGATTGTAGCCGCAGTAAGGGTAATTGTCAGCCGACGAATTGTGAATAACGAGGACAACATTTCAAATGTATACCTTTAACAACAAAGAAAGAATCGATTCAATTTTTAATGGTTTTTATGTTGACTCATGCCTTTAATGTGTTACAGTATATAAATATTAGTAAGTCAAACATAGAGGTTCAGTCATGTGCAGATATTCACGGAATTTTATCCAACTTTATTGAAACGAAATATAAAAAGAGCTAATCTTGAGTATGGGCGCATAAAAATAAAATGAAAAAACGAAACTCAAGCCACTTCCCTAATTGAAATTGTAATTCAGAATTACAGACCAACTTTCCAGTTTCTAGTTATATGAAATTAGTACAAAGTGCAATCTCCTTGTTACGTTTGCATTCCGCCGTTGCGCTCCAAATGTATAAATCAACGAAGCTACTTCAAATGAAACAATTTCTCCGTGCAAATTTTCAATTAAACCCCCCAGCGTGAAGCGGAAATTGAAACATGTAGAACGTCACGTCCTAATCTGCTACTAGTTATCTTGATTAATAAATCGAAATCTCAACTTACCGCCCGGATTGATGTTCCGAGGTTGTGGGGTGGTTCCTGCCGTTGCCCCCGACGAACGACGGGACCTAGAATAAGATAATTAGATTATTATCTAATTTCCGCTTCGCGCGAAGTCTCAACAGTATCTTAATCAAGCTAGCTACATGTAATATCGATTGAAACGTGTTGCGACACCTTTGTCACTACTGGCAGCAATGTAGTATTAGTTAAATGAACCAGATGCCGAAATCACTTCCTATCGGTGTCTCCTAGTTTTGATATTTTCCCATGATAACAATAAAAACTGAGCTGTGGTCATTTTTTAGCCAGCTGTCTTAATATTTACAAGTTAGAATCCCATTTGATGCTGTTTGTAATCTAGATCCATAAACACAAAATTCGATTATCAGCTCGCACAATTTCATCTCCAAAATACAAACAGTGCAGGATTTGCAAACACGCGTTGTTTACGTACGGTTTACCAATTTCCCTCAAATCACAAACGTCACGCGTAATTAGTTTGCCTCGGTATCGATTTGGCGTAAACGAATTGATAGACTGAAAATTTACGTTGCGCTTCTCAAAAACATTGATTCGAAAAGAAATTAATGTTGACAAAAGGAGGACGATACTGAAACTCTTAGTAACGTCTAAGTAACTTTTGGCGAATTTACACGACCCAAAATAGGAAATTACGCATTTCGGAGAAGTCGGTGCTAACGATGGCGACGGTTTTAGGAATTCACTCTTCGTTGAATATAATTAGCCTAATGGGAGCACGGCAGCTAATTTTAGACATTTTCGGTTAAAGTGGTCTACATTGAGGTGGCAGTATATTAAGAAACAAAGAGTATTTTGCCCTACAGGGGAGAAAATTGTATAGTCCATGATAAGTATACAATGCACGATACTGAAAAAAATTCCGGATCGCGTTCCTCTATTAATGCCGAAGAGGAAACAGAGAGTCCTTGAGTGAGTTGCAACACGGAGTACGGCTCTGCAATTGCTTGCTCCTCTCCTGAGGTCACAGTAGATTGTTTGCGCCAACGTTGCAACTGTAAGCATTAAATAAATAGGGCAATGATTTGGTCTCTCGTCGTTTAGAAAAATTTTGGAGAATTTTGGGACTTTTGGGTGTGTAGCTTCCAAACAATCCATTTTGGACCTTCGGTTTATTTAGGAAACATCCACGTGAGGATCGGAAACATGATTTGCGACTGGTGTTCGAAGGTGCGCGAGTGGTTGGAGTAAGTATCGACCAATGTGAGCAAAAGCAATTTCTATTTCTCCGAACGGATTTAACTAAAAATTCCATTTGTTTACATGAATAGAAAGAAATCAGATGCCAACTTTTTACTGCCCGTCAATTTTTAACATTGGAAATGTTTATGTTTTCGTATATTTGTACAAAGTTATGAGTTTCGTTCAAGACAACGGTGTCGCATCAAGTCATTATTGTACCGTACTCGGCCGTGATCGGTAGGTTAAGGAAAAGTCGTGTTTGTATTAATTAATTTTGGTTGAAGGTCGCTGTAATTAATTGTTTGAGATTCACTGGCATACTTAAATTGTAACTGTCATGGCATTTTTGGCGACCCCTACTTGGCGGACTCCATCGCGAAAGCTTCAAGACGCATTCTTTGCTTTTTAACTTCCCTCTTGCGGCATTCTGGTTACAAGCACGTTTGAGCGTGGCATGTAGACATATTTTGAATCATAATTATTTTTTTCCGATTTAACCAAAATGGTTGTGTAACAGCTTATTTTCTCATGTACGGACTAATTATTTTTGGTTCACGGCCACTGTAATTAATTGTTTGAGATTCTCTGGCATATTTAAATGTCGTTTACTGGCGTCACCTGCCGGCGATTTTTCCACGCAAGTCTCAAATTCTCCGGCATTCGAGTACAAGCACGCTTCAGCACGTAAAATAGGGTGCAGAGTGATGAAATACATGAGGTTCTAACAATTTCCAATTATTTATTGAACCTATATTTTCTGGATCCCCGATTTAGTTTGGACGGGTTTCTGCATTTTTCTCCGAATTTGAGAGGCTATATTTTTGGTTTCACTAATTACGCAAGTACGGCCATTTTGTCTTATCCACCTGGTTAATTTTTGCATTCTTTTAGGCTCTGCCCATTGGATGTTCGAAACTATTTCCGCATTTCAGTCCATCGTCGGGGTAATTTCAGTATTTTATGAGTAGCCCTCTTATATTAGAGGTAGGTTATGCTACCTTTAGAGGGGGGGTATTATATGTCGATATTTTGTTCATGGTTTCAATTATCGTTTTAATTTTAATTACACGCTTTAGTCTCCAGTCACGGAATTTTTTCATTAACTCTACGTCCACATTTAATTACGACCACATTCTTATCACCATACCAGTCCGCGGCCATTTTGTTCTCGATGTTACGTCAACACACGATCTTAGTAGATAAGGATTTTGGGCCATTGGGTCAACTCAAATAAACTGCTGGAACCTGGACTCGTAATTCATCCTCATTTTGTTTTTTGGGAACTGGAACTGCTCGTTATTGAGTTAAGGGATTTAATTTTAATGTGTGGGAATTTATTTTGCATGGGTATGGAAAGTTTTAAATTTAATTGGGTTATTAAATTGATTCTGATCGTCGTCGAAGAACAAATATATCAATGTTTCCTTATTGGATTTCTTTGTTACTTCACTTGTATCATACAGGGAGAGTTAAACATTTAAAGCATCTGGGTGGCGCTCAACTTTACGAAGAAGCTGCGAAGGTCTTATGCCCAACCGAATCAAACGCTGTGCAAGCCCTTATTACTTTTACTGGGCTAGCTGACCGTTTAGCTACGTTTCACAAAGGACCGATAATCAGGACCGATGATTCGTCCTATCCAATGCTTTAAGTTGTATCGTTTACATGTTCGCGTACCATCGATCGACCGGTGCAATAGTGCGGGGTTGCGGGCATCGACATTTACCTCTAATCTCGACGCTTGGGCATAGATATGGAACCAGGGCATTGGATCAACCCGAAGAATTAACTCGAGTCCTAATTATTAGATAACTTCCTCTTCAAGGAATATGATAACGATTACGATTACGGCCCGTGTGGCGCAGTTCAGTTGAAGCTGAACTGTGGTGCTAGGGTCCCTGGTTCGAATCCGGGTTCGAGCATGGATATTTGTAAATGTATAGTGGGTTGGGTTGGTAGAGCAGCCTTGGCTGAAACCCCGCCCACTCAAAAATAAAATAAAATAAAAATACTTTCATAGAAATCTAGATCATTATTTATTCTGAGAGGTACACAACCTACGACGATACACACATTTTCGAGAGCTGGCAACGCTGGTTACGTTTGGCATCTTGTTTTTAATGACAGTCACGAAAGCATTGGTCCACAACCGTTTGTTGTTGTTTTGTGTTATTTAACGCAGGTAGTAATCTTTGCATTTGTTTTTGAAATTGACTTGATTTAACCTCAATGCAGAATCACGCATTCGATACCGTTAACCTTTTGTTTGAAATCGTTTACGTTTTTGGTGTAATGTTTGCTTAATTTATGTATGTTGACCAGAAGTAATATTCATATAAATTTTGAGCATTCTTTTAATATATGAAAGTTAACGAGTTGTTCGACGTATAACATTTTCTCCGTGAATGAGATGGTTACGGGGGTGGCAAAAACTGTAACCAAATGAATTATGACACCTGCCGAGGGATGCTCCGGACGAGAGGCGAGATATCTATCTCGGGGGCGAGATTCCGCGAATAAAAACTCTTCACTTTGATATATGAGTTGTGATTCACTGATTTCCACATATTTTGTAATAACATTGAATTTGCCCTACAAGGACATGTAATTTTCCATCCGACTTTTAACAGAAGGGTTTTATTGCACCAAAGATGAATCACCTGTTGTATAGCTACCTTTTTTTGTTACTTGCTTGTACCTCAACCAGTTCATTTTTTTGCAACTTACTTTATATTTATCATGTTTTACTATCAATCAATTGCAACAAATTATCAAGGATCAAAACGTAACACAGTGCTTTACAGAGCAATTATACACGCGTTTCTTCTAGTATTTCTTATGTAATATCATTTAAAAATAAAGGAAATAAAATGAAATCATTATACTCGAATACATTTTTAATTAAGTGGAGTGATTAGTCGTAATTCCATGATTGCTATGGAAATGTCATTTGATGTTTGCTTATAAAAATCACCGTCTTTGTAAATAAAATGACTTCGGTTGAAGAAGATAATCAAATAAAAACATCTTTTGCACCGCTCATTCGATGGCTTGTTGCAGAAGCCGAAAATGTTGGTACCTGCAAAATCCAAATGCAAAAGCCTAAAGTTTTGGAATGGATAAGTAGAAGCATCTTTCAAACAAAGTTATAAATACATCGATAACACTGGTACATTGAAGGAAATCTTCTTTTCTGGTGCGCTCGTACAAAACATCGATCAATACTGCGATTGTGGAATAGATTTGGCAGCATACGTACTCTAAATTACGTACGTTTGTGAAAGCTTCTAACAAAGCATACCTCGAAGGATACGAGCCAAAGACATCTTTTGCATTTGTAGAAAGCGATCTGAGAGGGTTTTTAATTATTTTTCATTTAGGTACAAAATCAAATTTTAATGCACGCGCTCGCGGTGCTGATGAGGGTGTTGATTCTTTTTTTTTTGTTAAGATTCTAATTATTTATTATAGACGTATGTGGGTATGCACAATGCAATGAAAAGAGAAAACTGACAAACACACGCTAATGTTTGGCACGCATATTATCTTAAAATGCTATTTGAATAATGATGCCATTTTTATTGGCCATAAGTTCTTTGTTGGTGTTCTTGTTATTTTTTTACCTACGGTTTTCTCCATTTCCCACACTTTATTGTATCTTAACAAAGGTCCTTTTCAGAACTATTCCTTCCTGTGTAGATTCATTTGCATTTGTTACACTCCGCGTATCGCCAACGTGATATCTATTCATGACAAAACCTTACGCACCCAAGCACAGCAACTTGTCCTGAATTTACTGGACTGTTTTCAACGGGAGAAGGAAAACCCTTCATCTTCCTATCTT